ACCATCACCATCACCATCACCATCACCATCACCATAATCATCATCATCATCATCATCACCATCACCACCATCACCACCACCATCATCATGTGCAACATCATCATCACCTTCGCCATCACCATCGCCATTCTCATTATCACCACCACCATCATCATCACCATCATCGTCATCAGCAACATCATTACCATTATCATCCCCATCCCCATCCTCAGCATAAACATCATCACCAACATCAGAAGCATCATCACCACCATGATCACCTTCACCATCATCATCAGCGAACCATGATCATTATCATGACCATGATCATCAGCAGCAACATCATCAGCACCACCATCATCATCAGCATCATCATCACCACCATCATCATCAGTATCATCATCATAATCACCATCAGCATCGTCATCATCATCAGCATCATATTCATCATCATCACAATCTTCATCATCTTCATCATCCTCGTCGTTGTCGTCGTCGTCATCATCATTCATGCGTCCCTCTATCCATCTCTGCACACGCCTCACACGTTTCGTGGCCCCATAAGGAGCTCCGCCGAAGGCACCAATGGTAGGTCTCGCATGTCGCCGCCACACCTATTTCGGCACACCCCTCACACGTTTCGTGGCCCCATCGAGAACTCCGCCGGGGCTCCAGCCGCGGGGCTCGCATGGCGCCACCGCATCCATTTCGGCACAACCCTCACACGATCCGTGGCCACATAGGGAGCTCCGCCGAAAGCACCAATAGGAAGGTTCACGTGGCGCTGCCGCAACCATGTCGGCACACCTCTCACACGTTGCGTGGCCACATAGGGAACCCCGCCGAAGGCTCCAATAGCAGGTGTCGCATGGCGCCACCGCGCCCATGTCGGCACACTCCTCACAAGTTTCGTGGCCACATACGGGGCTCCACCGAAGGTCTCAATGGCAAGGTTCGCATGGTGCCACCACGCACATTTCGGCACACCCCTCACACGCTTCGTGCCCCCTGTCTCCGCTGAAGGTCCCAGTGGCAAGGTTCGCATGACGCCACCCTACCCGTGTCGGCGCACCCCTCACAGGTTTCGTGGCCACACAAGGAGCTTCACCGAAGGTTCAAATGTCAATGCTCGCATGGCGCCACCACACACGCACACACACTTTGGCACACCCCTCACACGTTTCGTGGCCCCATAGGAAGCTCCGTCGAAGGCCCCTGGTGCGGGGTTCGCATGGCGCCACCGCACCTAGTTCGGCACAACTCGCACACGTTTCGTGGGCCCATGGGGAGCCCCACTGAAGGTCGCAATGAAGGGTTTGCATGGCACCACCGCGCCGATTTCGGCACACATCTCACACGTTTCGTGGCCCTATAGGGTGGCTGCGTTCGCATGCGCCCGCCGCACCCATGCCGGCACACCCCTCACACGTTTCGTGGCCCCGTAAGGTGCCCCACCGAAGGCGCCAAGTGGCTGCGTTCGCATGCGACCGCCGCGCCCATGTCGGTACATTCCTCACACGTTTCGTGGCCCTATAGGGGGTTCCACCGAAGACGATATTCACAACTGCGTTAGTCACAAATGCACATGGTTGGGTTCTTTGCCAGGCTAATTGCTTTCTCGCTTTTTCGCTTCCGATGACCATCCGACGCCTCAAGAAGGCTTCGATATGGCCAAAGAGGGCCCCGAGAGGGGCCCGAGGGAGCCCCAACGCGGCCCCAAGAGGCGATTGCAGGCATTCTAGAAGGGCAGGGCTAATTGACGCTCCCCTCTATTTTGATCGATGTCTTCCAAAGTGACTCCAAGAGAGCCCCTGAAGCTCCCAAGAGCGCCCTAAAAGGGCCACAAAAAGCGCCCAGACGGCCCCAAGAGGCGGGCACTCAAGGGGCCCCCATAATGTTCCCAAGCGATCCCCAATCGCCCTCAAGAGGATTCCCGATGCACACAACACGCTCAAAAATGGCCGTGGGCCCGCCAAAATGCCCCCCCAGACGCCCCAAGGGGCCTCCAAAAACTTCCAAGAGACATCCGAGGAGACCCCGGGAGGCATTCCAGAGGCTTCTGGTTCTTCTGTTCGCACTTTTCCTCCTCCTCCTCTTCCTCCTCTTCCTCCTTCTCTTCCTCCTTCTCCTCCTCCTCCTCATCCGCTCCTCCTCATCCCCCTTCATCCTCCTCCCTCCTGCCTCCTCCCCCTTCCCCGCCTCCTCCTCCTTTTCCTCCTTCTCCTCCTCCTCCTCCTCCCGCTCCTCCTCCTCCTCCCGCTCCTCCTCCTCCTCCTCCTCCTCCTCCTCCTCCTCCCCCTCTGGTTCCTGCACTATCCTCCCCCGCTTGGGGTATGACGGCTTCCCCGCCTTGATCAAGCAACTCGCCTGCGCTTGTCTGGATGGCTGGTGGGGTTGCGCGAAGCGTCGAGGATTTATGGTGCCCAGGTCGCCCCTGCTGCAAAGTCGCATACCTAGACCGCGCGAAAAGAAATTGCCAGCGTAACTGAATTGGGCACCCGGGTTGTATATGCGGCGGGACGCCTCACGGACCAGTTGGTTTCAGGCCTTCCTGACGGCCCCAGCAATGTCGTACATGTGGCCAACCAACGCTCGACAGTCGACGCGTTGGATGTGGCTGGGAGCCCCGCCGAAGACTGGAAAATCGCGAAAAAGAGAATTCTGAACAGGAGGTCGAAGAGTCGGCGTTCTTCGGCAAGGAAGGCCGTCGAATTCGGGTCTGGAAGATGTTCCTCCAGACGGCTGTTAGATCAGAATCCGTGCTGATCCTCTGGTTGTTGCGACTCTAGCACGTGCTCGACGCGCCCCAGCAGCATGTGTGCAAACAACTTCTAGAGAAGACGGATGCTCGCTATAGGTCGGAGATATCCGACTGCCTTGGCGTGCGTCGTCTTTGTCAGCGTGATGAAACACGTAGTGTGCCATGATTCCAGAACGACTTCGCCAGCAAACACAGCATTGTACAGCGTAAATAATATCTCCTTCAATTCAACATTTGAGTGCTTCATCATTTCCGCCACTAGACCACGTTCGTCCGGGGTCTTGTTTGATCCCGAACTCCAGATGCCCTTGTCGATCTCCTGCATGGTGAACGGCGCCTCTGTGAGGGAAGGCGGCGGCACGTCCTCAGCTGCCCCGGCGAAGATGTCGCGCAACATGTCGGCAGAATCGTCTGGCGGCGGCTGCTGCGATGTCTTCTTACCCGAGATGCCGTGGGATAACCTTTTCAAACCCCGCCAATCCCGCCAAACGACTGGCATCAAACCGCCATAAAAAATCCACCCGCCCATGCTTGGTGTTTGGTGATTGGCGTTTGGTGTTTGGTGTTTGGGATTTGGTGTTTGGCGTTTGGGGTTTGGGGTTTGGTGTCTGGTGTTTGGGGTTTGGTGTTTGGTGTTTGGGGTTTCGTTTTTGGGGCTTCGTGTTTGGTGGTGTTTGGTGGTGTTTGGTGTGCGGTGCTTGGGGTTTGGTGCTTGGAGTTTATGTTTTGGGCTTGTTGTTTGGTGTTTGGGGTTTGGTGTTTTGTGTTTGGTGTTTCGCGTTTGGAGCTTGGTGTGTGGTGCTTGGTGCTTGGTGTTTGGTGTTTGGTGTTTGGGGTTTCGAGTGTGGTCTGTAGAGTTTGGTGTTTGGGATTTGGGGTTTGGTGTTTGGCGTTCGGTGTTTGGTGTTTAGGGTTTGAGGTTTCGTGCTTGATGTTAAGAGTTTGGTGTTTGGGGTTGGGTGTTTGGTGTTTGATGTTTGGGGTTTGCGGTGTTTGGGGTTTCGTGTTTGGTGGTGTTTTGTGCTTGCTGTTTGGGGTTTGGTGATTGGTGTTTGGGATTTGGTGTTTGGGGTTTGGCGTTTGGTGCTTGGGGTGTAGGGTTTGGGATTTGGTGTTGGGTGGTGCTTTGTGTTTGGTGTTTGGTGTTTGGTGTTCGGTGTTTGGGGTTTGGTGTTCGGTGTTTGGGGTTTGGTGTCCGGTGTTTGGGGTTTGGAGTGTGGTGTTTGGTGCTTGGGGTTTGGTGTTTTGGGGGTTTTGGGGGCTCCGGCTGGGAATAACCCAACTTTGTCGGGGTATAGCCTGGCCAACAGGGGTATAGCCCGTCCAGCTGGGGTATAGAATTGGGCCCCCCGGGCGGGGGGTTGGGAGTGACCCGGGCTGCTAAACGCTTTCCCGGGGCCTCGAGAGCCTGCATTCCGTGGCCTCCGAGATGCCCAAGGTTCCATCTAAACTTGCTCAAACTGGGCTCCAACACGCCAAGGATGCCACAAAAACAACCACGTTAGCCCCAGGACGGCCTAAGAAACCTCTAAGATGCCCCCAGAGAGCTCTCAGAGGATCCCAACAGGGCTCCAAGAGGCCCAAATCGCTCCAATTCCAATGAAAACGTATATTTTTAGCATATCCACCCTTTTGTTTTCAACAGCGTCCAAATCGGCCCAAGAGGCCGCGCAGATCGTTGTCGGATGGCCCAAGCGGCCCCTAAGAGGGCCCCGAGGCCGCCCAAGAAAGACCCAAGACGGTCCAAGAAGCGCCCAAGACGGCCCAAGAGGGCCCCCAAAGAGCCTCAAGAGGCGCCCAAGACGGGGAACTCGAACTGACATTTCGAGCCCTCCGCCCTAAGAGGATCCCCTAGACCGCCAGCAGGCGCCCAACAGATCCCCAAGAGGCCGAACAGATACTCCAATAGGCTCCTCAAACAGTTCCCAAGAGGCAAAATGCCTCACCCGTGGACTTCGTTCCTCCTCTGGGGGTCGGCGGAATGGCGTAAGCCACTTGAACAAGCTCTCGAAGCCAACTTCTAATTTTCGGGTTCTCTTACCACTCCTGCGGTCGATCTACAGCCCAGGTCCGATCTACACCGGCTGACCGACAGAGGGGGGTGGAGAGGTGTAAAGGAAGTTGAAGGACGACGACAAATCAGAACATGATAATGAAATTCAGTCTTGCGCGTGGTCCCTGCCGCCAGCTATTCACTCGCACGTGGCATCTTGAGCGTTAGTCAGAGAAGGGTGGAGGGAGGATGGCGTAGGCCCGCGGCCGCGAGACTGTCTCGGAGATGCACTCCGAGTCCACCCTGCCAGGCTCTGGGGTCGGCTGATCGCCCGGCCTCTGGCGAGCGGGCGGGAACACTCGCTCCCCGCCCCCGCACCCCCCTCGCGCTGCGTTCTGCCCACGGCGACCCAAGATCGAAGACTTTGGTTGTCTTTGGTCCGCTTCGGGCCTCTGGCTCTGAAGGCCTCTGGGGGTCTTCAGGGTCGACCTCTGGGAGTCAGGCTCTGGGGCGGAACCAAGTCTTACGACGTCCACATCCTCGTCCTAGCTCTTGTGCTGCTGCTGCTGCTGCTCCTCCTCCTTTTATCTCTTGCCCTTGTCTTGGCCCTCGTCCACGCCCTCATCCTGCTGCTTCTTCTCTTCCCCTCTTTCTTCCAGAAGGCCAGCGTGCCCCACGCATTTAGGCAAGGACAGCCATGATGGTGATAACGTGGAATGAGGCCGAGCCAAAGACATTCTCGGCAACCAGAACGCAAGACCGAGTCTGCAACACTCGGGATCATGATCGAATTCAATATCTAAACGGAGCCGCCGAGCCAAGAACGGTCGGGAGCAAGGCCGAACACAATTTTCAGCAACCGGGACGCAAGGCCCAGCCAAGAAAAATTGGGGACCTGGCCGAACCAGAGAAGCTCTCAGCAACCAAGGTCCAGGACCGAACCAGGGCACATCGGGAGCAGGACCGAGCAGAGCAAACTCGCGACAACCAAGCCACAGAACATAGCCTGGAACAGGTGGGGACAAGGTGGCAGTGGGGGAATTCTCGGCAACAAAGGCACAAGACCAACCCACAAACAATCGGGAACACGGCCGTCCCACGGAAACTCTCAGCAACCAGGGCGCCATAGCGAGCTAGGAGTTATTGGGATTGGGAGCAAGGCCTGCGATGCTTTGCACGGCATTGCCTGTCCTGGTTTGCATCTGCTTTGCCTTGTTCAGGCTTTGTATTGGCCTGTGCTGCATTAGTTCCCCCCGCAATGCTTGCACTTGGGGTCCCGTGCTTGGGTTCTAAATAGCTGGGTCTGGTTGCCGCGCGTTTTTTTGGGGGGCTGCTTAGCCTCCCATGGCCTCCCATGGGTTGGCCTCCCGCAAATTTCCCATGACTTCCCCCCCGCTGGCACTGGTCGCCGCACGCTCTCCGGTGACCGCGTGGACTCTTATGGCCTTCTACTGGTCTATGGCTTATCTTCCGCCTGCTATGGTTGTTCCTCCTCCTCCTCCTCCTCCTCCTCCTCCTCCTCCACTGGTGGATTGTTCTTCTATGGCCTCGCCTCCTGTGGCTCCGCTGTGGCTTCCCGCCCCCTGGCCCTGGTCGCCGCACGTTCTCTGGTGGCCGCTTGGCCTCGGACGTGTGGCTTGGCCTCCTGTGACTGCTCTCCAGTGGCTTGGCTTCCCATGTCAGCAAGCTGGACCCTGCATGTCAGCTTGGGCTCGTATGGCTTGGCCTACTGGGGAACCCCATAGCGTCACACAAGCTGCAAATTACTCGAACAACCATCTGTGCGGAGCCAACGCGCTGGCACCATCTTCGCTTGTTCGAGATCACTCTGGCTGCAGTCGTGTTTGGCCTGTCTTCAGTTGCTCTTCGATGTCGAACTATGATCCTGTCGCGGCCCCAACTGGGGTTGCTCTACCAGCTAAACGCAATGCTGATGACAGGCTGAAGCTCAGAACAACATCAAACCAACCGAATCAACAACTTCGCTGCCACGCATTGCAACATTGCGTTGCCTTCATGCTGTTCACAAGTGCACCGCAAGGTCTTGCACTTGTATTGCGCTGCGCGCCATTGCGCTTTTTTGTTTTCTTTGACGATTTTTTTGGCCTCGAACTGTTTCAATTCGGTTTGCTTCTCCTTGCTTTGCGATTGCGATTCGAAATGATTTGCTTCGCTTTGAAGTGCGCGTCTCATCCGCTTTTTGTTTCGGTTTCTTGCGCCACAAGCGCATTGCAACGCAAAGTGTTGCTATGCAACTTACGTATAGGCAATGCAGTGGGCAACAAGGCAGGTATAAGACATGCAAGGCAATGCAATACAATGAAATGGTGAGTAACTGCGTTGCGCGGTGCAATGCGATGAAGCGCAAACAGAAATATGTCACGACTCACGACACGCAACAATCAAATGCAACGGCATGCGCTGCAAACTAATGCGATGCGAACCAATGCATGAAATAAACGCCATGCAACTCAAAACACTGCAGCACAATGTAGTTCTGTGCTAAGCACTTACCTTGAAACTTGACCCGTATCTAAACAAGGCAATGATATTTAATTCGATGAACACCAGTGCAGGTGCAAACACTGCAACGCGATGATGCATCGCAATGCGTACTGATGAACAGTAAGGCGCAACACAGCACAGAAATGCAGACGCCAAGCAACGCAACACAAGTAGCGCAACGCAAGCCAACCAGTTCAGAAGAATGCAGTGTCATGCGGATGCAAAGCGATGCAATACAAATCAGCTCACAACAATGCACGGCCAGTGCACGGCAACGCAATGCAACGTGAAACACAGCGAAACGAAACAAAACAACACAGAACAAAGCAGCGATCAAGAACTAGGGCCTCCCGAGGAATCAGGGGGGTGGGAGCAGACTCCGAATGCATCGCCGATCACCCCGAAGGACCCCCAGAAGCCCAGGCACGGAGCCCAGCGCCGGACTGTCTCCACCCGCCCTTCGGCACACGAGAAGTGAGGCCCCCTTTGGCGAAACCAACTTGTGGAATAGAAAACTTCTGGTTGGGATCGTGCCTGGCTCTTGCTTGCCTGTTCATCTTGGCACCCTGCAAGGATATTAGGCCCTAGTGTGTCAAGCACCTCAATGGGTTTCATGATTTGGTGGTCTCCGTTCAATTTCCGTAGCCAGTCACGCCGTTCATGTGTAGGAGCACAAACGCAATTACATATGACCTGTAACCATCAAGCCTGTGAGGGTCAACGTCAAAACAGTCAAGCACTACATGCGCCTACGCTACCACGAGCTTAACCAATATATCACGATCCACGGATGAAGTCGCTTGCCATCTCAGCGATCATTACGGTGGGTGCGTGCGTGTTGCCTGACGTGATCGTCGGCATGACGCTGCAGTCCACCACGCGCAAATTCTCGAGCCCGTGGACCTTCAGGCGCGGGTCGACAACGGCATCTTCGCCGAGCCCCATCTTGCAGGTGCCGGCTGGGTGGTAGATGGTCTCGGCGACCTTACGGACATACCCGATCTGGTCCGCAGGGTCGTCCAGTGGGTCCCGCACCTCCTCCGCCCCGAGCTCCTGCAGCGCCGGGTGCGCTGCCACGCGCCGCGCGACCTGGATACTCTCCACAGCGAGCTGCTGGTCGTAGGGTGTGGAGAGGTAGTCCGGCGACACGACCATCTCGCCGCTGGGAGCCAGGGTCAGCCGCCCGCGGCTCTCGGGCCGCAGGATGCAGACCGACATCGTGATCGCGTCCCACGGGTCGAGGTTGACGGCAGGGGTCCCGGAGGTAGAGAGGGGCTGGAAGTGGAACTGGAGCTCTGGCGATCCCTTGGGCCGCGGATCTGGCCCGCCCTCGCGCGGGCACGGGCTCGGGACTAGGGCGCAGGCCTGGCTCGCGGCCATGGCCGCTGGGCCCGTCTGCTTCAGGGCAAACTCCAGCCCAGCCATCGCCTGCCCCACGAGCCCCCGCACTGTGAACTGGTTCACCTTTGTGTTGAGGGTATCGGCGTTGACCCTGAACTTCGGCCGGAGCTGGAGGTGGTCTTGGAGATTGCCGCCAACCCCGGGGAGGTGGTGCAGGCAGTCGAAGCCCGCCCGCTCCAGGTCTCGCCTGTCGCCGACCCCGCTGGCCATGAGGAGGTGCGGGGAGCCCATGGCGCCGGCAGCCAGCAGCACTTCCCCGCCGTCGGCGAGGCGCGCTTGCGAAGCGTCGCTGGCGTAAGCGGTGCGGCCGAACCAGAGTTTTGACGGGCAGCCCTCGTGGAGTGAGACCCCGACTGCCCGCCCGGACTCGAGCAGCACCTTCGACACGTGTGCGTTGACGAGGATGTCGAGGTTCGGACGCGAGTCGCGGACCTCGTGGAGCGCAAGCGCGCTGCTGCTCCGAAAGCCTTCCGGCGTCGTGGTCGTCGGGAAGTATGCGACCCCACACCCTTTCGAATCAGGGTCGTCCATGACGCTCGAGAGGTCGTCGACGCGCGGCACGGCGCAGGTCTCTGCGGTGGCCCGCATCCAGCGCTCCGCCAGGTCCGACTCGAAGCGCATCCTCGAGACGCTGAGCTGCCCGCCGTGGCCGTGGACGCTCGCGTCTTCGAACTCCGCGTCCTCGCTTCTCCGGAAGCGCGGGAGGACGTTCTGGTAGCTCCAGGCCGGGTCCTGCAGCTCCCGCGCCCAGGAGTCAAAGTCCGACGCGACCCCCCGGATGTAGAGCAGCCCGTTCAGGCAGCTGGATCCGCCCAACACTTTGCCCCGGGGCCAGGCCAAGCTCCGGTTCGCTAGCCCCGTCGTCGCGGGGTCTGTCTTGTACATCCAGTCGTACTTGGGGTTGTTGATGGACTTGAAATACCCCACAGGGATGTGGATCCAGGGGAGGCGGTCTTGCGGCCCAGCCTCGATGAGCAACACCTTGCGTTTGGGGTCTTCGCTTAGCCGCAAAGCCAAGGTCGACCCAGCCGAACCGCTCCCAACGATGATCGCATCATAACGCTTTCCGCCGAGCTGCGGCTTCGCAAGCGACTGGAAGGCCTTGATTGTGTCTCGAAACCGGGGTCGCGGCATCGTGTAGAGAACCTTGAACCGGGATGGCCACACCAGTTCGAGAAAAGAAGCACTCTTCTAGCCACAACCCCCCCAAGAGCTGTCCTTAGAATTCTTCCTTGGCACCAGCTTGGTCAATGTTCTAGGCCGGGTCCAGATGTGGCGTCGAGGCCCCGCAACTGCGAATCAGATCGAAGCATAAGTGGTACCGCCTCATCGGCTGCTCCGACAGACGGTCAAAAACATGACTCTCCGCAGACACCCTGTGAATGCTCCCCGCACGACGAATGCTTAGGGCCCCCCTGCTTTTGTAAAGGTCTGGGGTCCTTTCGGGTGTTCGTTAAAGGGGGGGGGGGGACAGTACACGTGGGGTGAAGAAACGTGCACCTTTCGTATACCTTTTGGGCCCGCGGTGGCAGCTGGAGGCCGCTCCGGCCCCCTTCCTGCAATCCTCAACCCTACGTTCACTGCGACCTGGTTGGTGTCCGCTCGATTTCGGCTCCCAAAACTGTGCGGTCTCGTGGCCCGGGGTCGTTGCCGTGGCCTCAGAGTGGTTCCGTTGTCGCGCGGGGGCTCCTTGGCCCCTGTGTCAATGCTGAACTACTCTGTCAATGCCTCGCTGTCCTGGGGCTCTGCTCTCTTCTTGCTCGCTCGAGCATTTGACACCTGTGCGGAGCTACACTGTCAATGCTACGATTGCCTGTGGCTTTGTTTTGCTCCTGCTCTAAACGCACACTGCTTGAGGCGGCGGAGAGCTTGAGTAATCAATGCAACAAAAGGCCACGAGGGATGACATCCCGACATCGGAGGTCTTGGTGACACCATCGTTTCAGGAAGTTTTGCGGAAACACGGTTTGCGGACGTCTTCTGAGGCTTCCAGAGGCTTTCCCACATATCCGAGGTTTTCGGATGACCGCCACATCTGGGCGTCGTGAAAGAAACTGACGGATGTTTTCTGCCCTGTGCGGGCAGTGGGACCCTCACGGATTGATCTGGCGGGCAACCCTGCGACCCAAAGACTGAGAAAGGATGGCGTGAGGAATATGACCAGGGGGGCGGGAGGCAGAACCGCAAAACTTTTTAAGCGCTCGAAGCAGAGGACTGATTGTTCGTCTTCGATGTGTCTTTCATTATCCCGCGAAGTGTCTCACGGGATCTTGGTTGAATGCCGCAGGCAAGATCGATTTGCATGGATACGCAATTCTACCCCGAAAGCCAAGATAGAGTTGGTGGGGGGACCTGGCCAGGGCCGTGACAGCAGGCCCGCGCCTGGCCTCTCGAGCACCCTGCGAGCCCGCCGATGCGTCCTGGCGGCGCTGCCGGGGGAGGTCCGGCTCCCTCGATCGAGCCATCGTGCTGTCATGAGGAACGCGGAAGTTCTCCTCCTCCTCCTCCTCCTCCTCCTCCTCCTCCTCCCCCGCCTCCTCCTCCCCCGCCTCCTCCTCCTCCTCCTCCTCCTCCTCCTTCCCCTCCCCCCCCCAGGAACGAAAGGGCTCTTCTGGCCACGGCTCGCCTCGGCCACGAGGAGGCTCCCCGACCCGGATCGGAGGAGCGACCCGCAGACCAGAGTCCCCCCTGGGCCCAAAGCGGTCCTTTCTCCAGCGTCGCGGCTCCACCCCACGCCGTGAAAAGTCACGACTCGGGTTCGGTGGACTGGAGTTGGCCTGACGGGGCCACCATGAGAGTGACGAGATCCAATCTGAAATTTGACTCGAGCTCCCGCCGCAAACATCCCTCGACAACTGGACCGTCAAAATCCAGGACGCACTCGTCAAAAAGCGTCGGCAAATCCGAGTTCTGGCGTACTCGAGCTTACTTTTCCCCGAGTTGTGAACACGCCTGGAGCTCTCATCTCATCTCATCTCATCTGTCTACGCGCGCGGGCATCATTTCTCGACGTGGGCGCGGTTCGCAGGGGCGAAAGCGGGGAGCACCCAGATGTGGCCGAGAACGGTGCGTTCACCCAACCGCGTCGACCACACCATCCCCAACGCGAGGAACGTCGAACCCATATGCCCCATTCCGGAAATCCTGAACCCAGACTTCCGCGGCTCTCCGCCGCGGAAGCGATGGCAACTCCTTCGATCCTGGAAGGCAAAGCCCTGCTTGGAACGCTCCACGTGCGATCGTTCGAGCCAGGTTGATCCGTTCACGCCCCCGGGCCCGACCCAGGGGCAAGAGCGCCCCTCGCCGACTTCTCCTCGGCGCCCTGATGTGAGGATCGGCCACGGGGTCGGCGCGAGGCGGCAGGCGCTGAGGAAAACGGGTCTTGGACCCTGGCTGTCCCCCCGGGACCAGCTCTTCATCCCGAGTGATCTTTTGAGGGCACCGGGGCCCAGGAGAGGCTTGGCCCGCCTTTTCGGCGGTGCGCCGGGGAGGGAAGTGAGAAGGAGAAGGCCTCCTCAGAAGGTGGCGGGGCTTGATAGTCCCTCGCGCCTTCTGAGAAGTTTTCAGTGTCGTCGAGGAAGGCTTCGAAAACGTCTCAGACGGCCCGAGGCCTTCCGAGCCCTCTGAGAAGGCCCGCGCCCTCTGACTTTCCCCTCTGTTCGCCGCCGACCTTTCCCTCAGGACCCCTGCATCTTTCATGGCCGACTCGAGCAGCTTGGCGGCGCTCTCACAAAGGGGTCGGGGGAGGGGAGTATAGACAGGGCCCGCGTCTTCTAAGAAGCAGTCTCCTTCTACGAAGCCTTCCCCTCTCCCCCAAGGCCCCCCCCTTCGCATGGCTGATCCTCCATGGCCGACTCGAGAAGCCCTGAATCAAATGACGTTGGCACCTTCTCTCGGCGAGGGGGGGAAGCGAGAAGGGGCGGGCCTTCTCACAAGGCTCGGAGGTCCCCAGTCCTTCTGGGACATCTTCCGAGGCTTCCCCGACGACGCAGAGAACCTCTCGGAAGAAGGCAAGCCCCGCCGACTTCTGAGAAGGCCTCCCTTCTTCTCGCTTCCCCCCTCCCCGCTCGCCGCCGACTTTTTCTGCCTCCGCCTTCCTCCGCGGGCGGGCCCGCCGCCGTGCCCACCTCCGCCCGGGCCTCCGCCGAGGGCAGCGAGGTGCGCCGAGGGCGAGGCCCTCGCTGGAGGAGCGCGCTTCGCGGTGGCGGGGGGGCACCGGCAGTGGCCGAGACGGGTGCGGGCAGGATTGGATTCTGCGGCGAGCCAGGGGGGGGAAGTGAGAATGGAGGTCAAACAATCCACCCCCATCGTACGTCACCACCCCGACACGCGAACTCGCTTAGTAAACGCGCCCAAGGGAGGAGTCAGACAGAGCAGGGCTGTTTAATAAACGCTTAGGGTTATTTAGTAAATGCTAACTGTCGGGTCCGGGTGGTTTTTCCTCCCTCGAAAGAAGGGGAAGGCCTTCTCAGGAGGCGGCGGGGCTTCTCAGAAGCCCTCGCGCCTTCTGGGAACTCTTCTGCGTCCTCGGGGCGGGCTTGGAACACCTCGCAGGAGGCCCGAGGACTTCCGAGCCTTCTGACACAGGCCCGCCCCTCCTCACCTCCTCCTCCCAGGCTCGCCGCCGATGGGTACAATGCCCAGCATTATGCGTGTGGTCCAACACCGACAGCAGCTGCTGTTTGGGCAGGCGGCTGCTTGTATCAAGAGGGCCACATCCGCTGCGACCCCGACGGCGAGTCCTCACAATGGACAAGGACTGCTGTTGGTCTTCGTCATCCCTCTCTCCGTACCCTGGATTTCAAAAAAAAGGGGGGGGGGGTCACAACCCTCGCAGACAAGCAATTTCAGCCCCCCCCCTACCCCGGACCAGCCATGAACGGGTGGCCTCCTGCCCAGACCACCCCAGACCCTCCAAGGCAGCTCAAGCAGACCCCTGCCAAGTGTGACCCCCCCAACTTTGTTACGAAACCCAGGGAGTGCCACGGTCGATCCTCCAGAGGGCAGGCTCCGCCTCCCTGGCTGCCACCGCACTCACCGGGGGGCAGCAGAGGGGCGCCTGACCGAGACGCACGAGGCGCCGGAGGCGCCCGATGCCTCGGAGCCGCGGCGCGCCTCGCGGCGTGGTGGTCGCAGAGGCAGGCTGCCGCTGCTGCCTTGCCTCGTCGTCGTAGTCGTCCGCCTTCGTCGTCGTCTTCGTCGTCCGCCTTCGTCGACCGTCGTCGTCGTCGACCGTCGGCGTCGTCGTCCCCCTCATTATCTTTTTTACTGTTTTTTTTGGTGTGTCTCTCTCTCTCTCTCTCTCCTTCTCTCCTTCTTCTCTGCCTGTCTGCTTGTCTGTCTGTCCATCTGTCTATGTATCTCTCTCTATCCGTCTCTCTGTCTCTCCTTCCTCCTCTCTCCCTGTTCCTTCTCAGACGCTCGCTTGCCGCAATCCCGAGGGCAACGCGCCATCAATGAGAACGGACTGCTTTCCAGTCCTCCCAGAAAAGAGCTCCTCGCCCGTATGGTTCCCTGATGGGCTATCAGAGTGAGCCTCGCTGGGCGTGGCGAAAGTAACAGAGCGAACGCCACCTTGTCAGAGCACCCTGAGAACCCCAAACGATAGAAATACAACACCTGCTCATCCTTCCTGTCTGGCCTGTGCTGATGCACCACGTTGCACAACCAGTATCACCGCAATATTTACGCTGAGCATGGCCGCGTTGCCTCGACGCTCACGTTCGACCACCCCCCGGCCCACTTCGGGGTCCGCCCGCCTGGCCGCCACACCTCCTTCGATGAGAACCGACTGGCGACCCTCTGGCGCATCCTACCGTCCATGGGACCTTTTGGTCGGGTGTCGTCCCCCTTCCTCCTCCCCCTCGTGGTGCAAGATAGAGGCGGCCACGGGCGGCAACGTGGCGAAACCTCGCCAGACACACCCAGCGCACGAGGCGGCCACGAGGCGGCCGTGGGCGACAACGTGGCGAAACCTCGGCGGACCCGCCCAGCGGAGGAGTCGGCCACGAGGCGGCCACGAGCGGCAACATGGCGAAACCTCGCTGGATCCACCGCCAGATCCACCCAGCGCACGAGTCGGCCACGAGGTGTAACGTGGCGAGACCTCGCCCGACCCGCCCATCGCTCGAGGCGGCCACGAGGCGGCTACGGGCGGCAACGTGGCGAAGCCTCGTTGGACCCACCCAGCGCACGAGGCGGCCACGAGAGGCCGGACCCAGCCAGCGCACGAGGCGGCCACGAGGCGGCCACGAGGCGGCCACGGGCGGCAACGTGGCGAAACCTCGCTGGACCCGTCAAATTCCTTAGTAAGACAAGTCAGAACCCCTGAGTGCAAGCACTGCTTGGGGAACTACTCTGGGGAGTGGCCCGCCACCCTGCGAGTACTGGTTATTTTCGCACACAATTTCATTCTTGGATGTTCCCAATCGTATTTCTAATTGGAGCGTTTTCGGTGTCTCAGAATGGTGCTGCCGCTGCAGCCGTGGCCACATGTTCGGATCGGAGCTTTGCTCCCGCCGTTCAGAGTGGCGCTCTCGCCTCAGCGCGGGCCACATTTATGGATCCGAGTCCTTCTTTATCGTTGTCGCCCCCCGCCTTTCCTGTCCTCCGCCTTCCCTTGGTCTTCCTGCTCCTCCCGCTCCTTCAACTCCTGTTTGCGCTGCTGCTGTTAGTCTTCGTCCTCCTCCTTCTTCATCCTCCTCCTTTTCCTCCTTCTCATCCTCCTGCTCATCTGCCACCTCCTCCTCCTTCTCCCCCTCCTTGTGTACCCAGCTCCGATTCCGCATAACACGGTGGGGTCTTCTTGGGAGTTCCAGGTCCGCTATGACACGCATCCGCGGGTAAAGAAAATCAGAGCAATTGGAAGGGACGGGTAGGATGTCAGATATGGCGCGAGCGCGCCCAACTTGCCCGCCCCCTCGCCGCCGCCGTCGCCACGGTCGTCGTGGACGCCGCTGCAGCCGTCGCCGCGTGGCCGTGGCCGTCGCCGCTGCCCTCGTCTGGAGGCCCCAGTCGCTCGAGACGTCCTCGGAGAACGACCTGAATCCCAAAACCGTGCGGTGACCCGAATCCCCACTGACTCCCCACGCGGTGTGGTGACCATACCGCCGTCGCCACCGTCGCCACCGCCATGCTGGGGGGGGGGGCCTTCTGCTGCTCCGCCCGCGCTGCCGGCGGACCCTGCGAGGCGGGCCACCCCGCGGGGCACGAGGCGCGCTCCTGCCGTGGGGGGATCGGGCCACTCCTGCTGGTCCCAGGGGGGGGGGACCCCTGCAGCGAGATGCTTATTTGGAGGAGGGGTTCCCCTGTTTTCCTCGATTCTTTCCTCTAAAGACCTCGTAGATGGGTCCGAGTAGATGGGGTCGGAGGATTGCACTGCATCGCCAATGCATCGGCGATGTATCGGCGATACATTGGCGATACATCGGTGATGCATCGGCGACGTCAGCGATACATCGGCGCCATCGGCACGAAGAAACTCGGACTCCGCATCGAGCCGCATCGCCGATGCGGACCGATCCCCTTCGACCCCACCTACTCCGACCCCATCTAAGAGGCCTCGCAAAACATCGCTGGTGGCCTTACTTCATCTCGACACAAACCGTCGCTCGGCGAACCGGGAACACCGCGCAAAGCTGCCTGCAACATGCAAAGTCATGCAGGAAGAGGAGGAGGAGGAGGCGAAGGAGGAGGAGGAGGAGGAGGAGGAGGAGGAGGAGGAGGAGGAGGAGGAAGCTCCCGTGCTGCTCGCCACAGTACTCGCCACCACCGTGCGCTGCCCCAAGAAGGCGTCCGCGCCCTTGGGCAGGAGAGATCTCGCTGATGTGGGCGCAGCCCGTGACCCAGACCGACAGGCGCGCCGCAGCCCCTGACCCAAACCGACAGGCCCATCCTGGAAGGAGGGGCAAACCCTTTCTGCACTGGGACCTCCGCCGCGTCCCCTGTTCTAGACCGGCAGGCCCATCCTGGAAGGAGGGGCACACCCTGTCGGAACCTGCGCGGATCTCTTGTAGCTGCTCTGGGACCTCCGCCGCGTCCCCTGTTCCAGACCGACGGGCCCATCCTGGAAGGATGGGCACACCCTGTCGGAACCTGCGCGGGTGTCTTGGATCGGCTCTGGGACCTCCGCCGCAGCCCCTGACCCAGACCGACGGGCCAATCCTGGAAGGAGAGGCACATCCTGTCGGAATCTGTGCGGGTGTCTTGGATCGGCTCTGGGACCTCCGCCGCAGCCCCTGACCCAGACCGACAGGCCCATCCTGGAAGGAGAGGCACACCCTGTCGGAATCTGCGCGGGTGTCTTGGATCTCCTCTGGGACCTCCGCCGCAGCCCCTGACCCAGACCGACGGGCCAATCCTGGAAGGAGAGGCACACCCTGTCGGAATCTGTGCGGGTGTCTTGGATCGGCTCTGGGACCTCCGCCGCAGCCCCTGACCCAGACCGACAGGCCCATCCTGCAAGGAGGGGCACACCCTGTCGGAATCTGCCCGGGTGTCTTGGATCTCCTCTGGGACCTCCGCCGGCGCCTCCGGCGCCGCCCCTGGCGTGCGGAGCGCGTTAAAGGAGGTGGGTCCACTGCCGATCCAAGAAATCCGGGCGGTCTTCCAAGAGTTGGTTCATGAGTTCTCCTTCGATCCTCAGAGCGCGAACCCAATGGACTCTTTTTTCTCTCCGAGGGGCGAGGGGGCGGCCGTGTGCTCCTTAGGGAGCTTGGCGTCCTGCTGCCCTCCCTCCTCCTACTCCTCCTTCTGCTCCTCCTCCTCCTCCTGTTCCTCCTCCCGAGGGGACGAGGCCTCCTGTTCTAGACCTCATCCAGCACTCTTCCACGAAAACAGCTCCACCTCGCCGCAGAATGCGACGAGCCGCTAGGGCGGTCCAGATGTTTCGCTTGCCACGCATTCGCAACGTACGGTGCTAAAGCTTCACGGCCCCAACTGTCACATGGATGCAAAGAAGGCAGGAACGAACGGACTGTCCGCTGACTGGTACCTACATGAGGCAGTGTCCTTGTTGGCGCGCGGGCGCCTGGGCAGACCGAGGAATCGTGGAACAACACTGCATGCACATCTCTATTTGGAGAAGCGTCTGGAATACGAAGCGGACCTCAAGTCATGTCAGGCCGCCGCTTCCCATGGCTCCCTGTCCGTCTGCTTGCTCGCGTCCTGAACCACGGCATCCATTGCACGAACCGCTCGCTTCGTGCTATAATGTCTCCATTGCTTGTGCGGTCAAAAAAACGAATTCCCAATCGTTCTCAACGGCTACCCGGTCGTGCACTCCCCGCTCCTGCGCTTTGCACACATAATGCCTCATCGACCTCCTGATGTTGAAACCGCTTGCCCGGGCCATCCCAACCGGCCAGCCAGCCCAACCAACTCAACAAGCCAACCAACCCAGACCGACCCAGGCCAGCTCAAACCAGCCCAACCCGCCACCCCGCTCATCCCACCTTCAACCCTGCTGTAGCGTGCCGCGCTGGCGGCCCGCGTAAGCCGCGGCGTAAGGTCGCCATGCCATCTCGCGTAAGACCCCTTTCTGATCGTCGCTCAGGAGTCGAGGATGCGAGCCCTGGGGGGGGGGACAATCCCTCACACGCTACTGTGTGATTTGGCCTCCGACGGCCGTCCCTGCATGCCCTCCAAGAAGCCCTGCTGGAGGCCCAAGAAACGACGGCAGTGTTGAGGATGGGAGCTTTCTCAGTCGAGGGAGTAGGCGCGAGGCAGTGTTAAAAATGACGACGGTATCGCACGGGCAGCTTACGCGCTAATGTCCGCGCAGACGACCTTTTTTTTGCGTTGCCCACCCGGCGTACACAGGGCTCGCATCCTCGACACCTGGCGTTACTCTGGAGAAGGTCGGAGGAGGAGGGGGGGGAGGAGGAGGAGGAGGAGGAGGAGGAGGAGGAGGAGGAGGAGGAGGAGGAGGAGGAGGAGGAGGAGGAGGAGGAGGACGACGTCGACGTCGAGGCCGAGGAGGAGGGGGATGATGATGATGGTGGTGGTGATGATGATGAGGAGGAGGAGGAGAAGGAGGAGGAGGAGGAGGAGGAGGAGGATGCCTCCCGCCGCCGCTGCCGAGGCCAGAGGACGCCTTTTTTACGGGGCACGCAGTGCCCGACAAAGCCTCAGAGAAGGTGCGCGGCACAGATGATTGGGCAGCGGGCGGAAGCTAGCCAGACGGCCAGCTGCGCAAACCTGAGTCGAAGGTACAACTAAACGCGCGAGGGTGGGAGGGCTGGGGGCGCAACAGTGAGACTTCAAATGGCAATGGAATGCGGCCTCTCATGCTGTGGCGTCTGGCAATATACAACGAAATAGTGGGCATGCCTCCCGCCGCCGCTGCCGAGGCCAGAGGACGCCTTTGTACGGGGCACGCAATGCCCGACAAAGCTTCAGAGAGGGTGCGCGGCACAGATGATTGGGCAGCGGGCGGATGCTAGCCAGACGGCCAGCTGCACAAACCTGAATCGAGGGTACAACTAATCGCAAACCTGCCAAACAATCCTTGGCCATCTCAACAATCAGCTGAACTATTCACCGTTAAACAAAAAGACTGGCCAATGACATCGTCTTGGAACTGCCATGGGCGTGATCGAAACAGCTAGCGAGGGCCTTGCACAACTCAGGGGGATACTGCTGAGCGGCTTTCGTTTTGAAGCCGCCTCCCTGAGCGAGGCCATGAATTGATGTGTGTTTTTTTTTGTGTGCGAGAGCAGAGCTTGCCATGACACGCTCGAGAGATAGACTTCAGAGAGACACGATCCCCTAGAATATTGGTCGGCTTCTTCCACGGCTTCCCCGATTGGCGCATGTCTGTATGCACGAGCTTGCTAGTTTTCCATGCGGCCTCTCTCTTGAGTCGAGGGGGCAGCCACGGACGCGAACGAGCAGGATTCTCCAGCGCCGCTGGGCGCTGGAGCAGGTGCATCAACTCAAAAATACTGCAACAGAAAACGGCAGTAATATTACCAATTCGAATGGCTTGCACATCGGTCGGATGGGTGACCTCAGGAAGCCCCATCAGATGCTGGTCTGATCGGAGCCGCGAAGGGAGAGTTGGCCCAGCTTGGCCCAGCTCCCTCAGCGGCCCCGTGTCCCTGGCCCTGGTCCACGTCTGGCACGGCGTCCCCATGAAGACTCCCCAGACCTGTCCGGCCAGGATCCAGCCCCTCACGAGCTTTTGGGCCTTCTTAGCCGAGAGGTCCCAGGCGGGCCCACGACTGATGTCCCATTCGAGCACGACGAAGCCCCTGTCGCGCAGCGCCCGCGAGAGCCCGCCGCGCCCACTGAACAGCTCTAGAAAGAGCTGCGGTTGGACCAGGCGGGCACCCCTGCGTTTCAGGGCGCGAGCGAAGGCCTCGCGAGGCAAGTCGGCATCCGCGCCGCCGCCTCGACCGCCCTCGCGCGGACGCCTGGGGGCAGCCGCTGCAGCTGCTCGCCCGCGCGCCCCTCCTTCTGGTAGCGTCTCGCGCTGGAGTCGCAGTGCCAGCGGCCTCTCAGCTTGATTTCCTGCAGTGTCCGCAGCTGACGCACTCGATCGTGACTGGGCCCACTGTGCCTCAGCATATGCAGCTCCGGGCCCAGTGACTGGACCCCCGCGCGCCCGTCCGCCTCTCGGAACTGGACCACCAAGTCGACGTGCCGGAAGGCGAACAGCGGCTGCCTGGCCGGCGTCTCCCGCTTGAGGTAGGCGAGCACGGGCACGAGGAACTGGAACTGCGGCAGGTCGAAAACCACGGTCTCGTCGAACTCCCGTGTCTTGCTGCTGATCTCCTCCTCGCTCGGGTGCAGCACGATCGCCCAGTTCACCGCGTGGGTGCCCGGCGCTAGCGGCACGAGCATCTCGGCGGGCGCCCGCTGCAGCTCGCCGGGGCGCAGGCAGCAGTGGAAGGTGATGACCGTCCAGGCCGCCATCGCCCAGAAGCCGGTCAGCAGCAGCTCCAGCGCGATCAGCGCGACGACCTCCCATGGCAGCGGCAGCCGTGCCCGCCTGGGGGCGAGCCGCTTCCAGCCCTTCAAGGCCTGCGCCGAGCGCGGAAGGGAAAGCCCTCCCGACTTGGCGAACTGCGGCCGGAAGTACTTCACCGCCGCCAGCCCCTTGGTGCCCCTCTGCGCCAGCTCCCCGAACGAGTGCTCCTGGTCCATCCAGCTGGCGACCACGAAGTCCGTCTCGTCGTCGCCCGGCTCCGCCTGCAGGGAGCCCAGCGGCCGCAGCCGCA